CAAGTAGTCTTTACGCTGAATTCAAATAAATTTTCAGAATTTTTATTGCATCAAAACAACAATTGAACTGATTGAAGTAAATTAGTAGAAAATCCTATGTCGGGCGTGTGTTAGACAAACACAGAAAATCACGATATAAAATCCCCTTAACTTTTTAACTCAAGTTAAGTTCAAACAACATTGTAAAATCCATACATTCATAGCTCCACTCAGAAACTAAAATATTAAACTTATAAAATTATTTTCAAACTTTTGTGATTTTGATGAATTTTGTCAAAATGTTTAACTTTAAATGTTCATACAACAAAAACTTATGACTATATGTATATCTTTATTACTTTTAAGCAAAAAAATCTTAAGTTATTCATTATCTATAAAATATTATATGTATTATGTATGTACATTTATATAATTGTCATTTATTGAATTAATCAAATTTATTTTTAATTGCTTGTATCTATTTATTACATATGATTTACAACAATCATTGAATTTTCAATAAAAAATAATTTTCATACAATTCTATTGTTCATATTTTGTGTGATGAGTATTAAACTGGCGATGAGCACTGCCATTCCAGTGTGTTATTTAATATATTAAGTAGGTATTTGTGATTATTTATTAGTAGGGACTTAGTTATTACTATTTATTTTAAATGCAAACTGGAATCTAAAATACTATCAAAATATATTGTATCAGACATATTATTTAACACATTTTTAGATTTCAATAATATTTAAAAAACAAAAGTACCGAATATAATAACCAGAACAACTTACAATAATAGATACCAGAGTAATAGATTGTATATAATATAACAATAAGGCGATCACATAAATTTATCACCAATTTTTTCTTATATATTTCCGCAATGTTCTCTATTACGACTTACGAGTTATGACAGATCAAACAATATTTACCACGGAATTATTTTAATTATTGTCATTGTTCATATTAATAAATGAATATAAAAATACAAAGCATTTACTTACCTGTAAAATATTTTAGCAAATATATTTACTTAAAAATTTGTGAAAATATGTAATAAATTTATTGTTTGGATTTAAATGCTCTAAAAATATCAAAAATATACTCTTTCAAGAAAAATATTTTTCACCTAAATACTCTAAAAAATGCTCTTTCAAAAAATACATTTGATATGTAAAACTGTGTAGGTTTGTTTATAAATATGAAAATGTGGGTGTCACTCTGCTGTTTAGAAGGTACAAGTGAGTTACTGTAATGGATGGTGTTAAATTTGTATACAATTGTATAATATCATTGTCTGTTAAAAACGGCTGCAGCACGATTTAGCACTTTTTCCTTTTTGACCCTAATAATAATAAATTACCTTTTATTTATTTTTTTACCATTTACCCAATTATTATGCATGCTTAGCAGTGGCACCAAAATATATATTTTTCTATGACCATTGTAAAATAGGTGGGTGTCATAATTTTATGCGAAGGTGTCATAGGTAAAATTTTGGACTTCGGCGCCACTGAGGCTTATTACTTCCAACTATCATTGTTGGCTTGGTTAAAAACTGTTTTTTTTCTGTATCACATGTGTAGTAAGCAAGTTACTACGTAACAATAAAACCAATTCCACAGGTGTATAGTTATTATAATATACGGTAGACCGGCATAGTCGGACATTAAGAACGGAAATGGGTTGGGGTTTCCTCCTTCAAACCTAAGGAGACAAGCTCACTGAATAGCTAGGGGTGAAGGGTTCAAGAATAGGCGGATGTTATATTTACAGAAACACTGAACACGACCATATACAAATATAAAAGAGTAAAATGATTATTTTAATAATAATCATATTTTGGTAATGCGTCAATCGTTAATGCGTAGGCTGGAACGATGACCACACAAATTACATCCGTGACAGTCTTGATACAGTATCTATAAGCGAGGGGTACGGGGAACCTCATATATAAGGAGCCCGAATCGGCCTGTATTCAGACGTGTACTACCACCCATTAGTGTAAGCACCTTCACGCCACTCTGTATGACAATAGGTATTTGGACTTAATAAAATTATTGAAGTGTAATAATAAAATTCACAATTATACAACAACTGTTTATATTATTTAATCATCAACCACGACTATATCAAATGAAGAAGTGTCTGCTACCTGCAACGTTAACGTACTGGTAGCCACTTGTCTATTATTATTACTACAATGTAGGCACCGAGCGTACCAGCACGTTACACATGTATGCAAGGCTGGGCATTAACGAGTTAAAAATTAAAATTAAGTTAAAACGTTAAGTTAATTAACTCGTTACTTTTTTTTTCAAATTAACTTTTAACTTAATAAGTTACTTTTTTTCAAGATTAACGTGTTAACTTCAAGTTAATTTTATTTCAAAAATATCTAAATTAAGTTAATTTTCTTCCGAAGAATAATGTAAATTTTTTAATGTGTTTTTACTTTGATGTATCATTTTAAATTTCCCCAGTAATTTTCTTAGACGTAAAGAAAAACTATCTAATAAACCACATTATGTGTCTGGAATTTTCTATTTTTGCAAATGAGATAATTTTAACTTTACACTAAGTTAAGTTACTTTTTTTTCAAAGTTAACTTTTAACTTAACGAGTTAACGATAAAAAATACGAGTAACTTTTAACTTAAATTAACTTAATTATTTTAAAATAACTTAACTTAACGAGTTAAAAAAAACATTAACTTGCCCAGCCTTGCATGTATGTACTCAATGTATACTGATATAGTCAATAGTCAATATTTTTTTTGTTCATATAAAAATAAAACATTACATGAATCATAATCATACGTTTTCTAATATGTAATTGTATTTAAAAATTACATTTGGTGATTAGCACAAAAACGTGGTCTCATTACCTGCCAATTACCATTCATTAATGTTTTATTATTTTTAAATTTTTCCCAAGTATCCGTTATAAATGTTATGGTGTTTCCTTGCTCTATTCGTAATTTATTTTTAGATTCTGAGTGAAACGATTAATGTATTGAATGATGTGTGTTTATTTATTTTAAATTTTTTATTTTTTTTTTGTGTCTGTGTACACGATAAGTAGTTGAAATAATGCTTCGATTTTAGACTTCAGTATCTTGTTCGATTGGAAAGTGAATATCGTTGGTGCATTGGGGAGGTCAAAATTTAAAATTTACAGTACTTTTCAAAAGCGCCAAGAAAAACAAAAGAAAAATTAAGGAAAAACGGGAATTTTTACGTAAAATCGATTTTTCAGTTTTTATAGCTAAGGATTGAAAATTTAAAACAGATTCCACGTAAGTAGTTAATTCTCTTACCGAAAAATCTAAAAAATATACAATCACAGTTTATTTTTATAGTCATTTTATGTTCAAATTTGGACGAAATTACATATTAAAAAACCTAGTTATTTTGTTGTGATTATATAATATTATTCGTGGGTAATACCTACTTGAAACTTCTAAAGTGTACTATTATATATCTATGATAGTATCAGGGTTTGTTATTGATGTTGATGTATAACGTGTTATAAGTACCTAATGGATATTGTGATAATGTCATATGATTAATTTGGAATTTATTATAGGTCAATTTTTTTTTTTTAATACTATAGATATGTATATAATTTGTCTTAAACCAAGACTGACATACCGTCTTCGCTCAGAATCGTTTTTCTTATACAATGATATTATATCATTGAATTCAAATTTAATAGCATCCATTATACAGTGACCCACTTGTAACCTACTGTACAGCAAAGCGACATCCACTTACCCACCTTTTTTCCATTACGTTTAATATTTTATTTTTAAAAATGTTTTATTTTGAATACCTAGTAATATATTTATTACTTGCAGGTTTATAGATGGGCGCGAAGTATAAAACTGCATATTATAATGCACATGTAAAGATTCTGGACTATTAGTTGTTCTAGCTTCTTCTAATGGTTTATCTACCCATAAAGTTGGTGGGAATTGTGCATCAGTTTCTACATAGTTTTTAAGTAAATAATCGTCCAATATTCAAGGCTGGGCAAGTTAATGATATTTTTTAACTCAGTTAAGTTAAACTAAAATCTAAATCAAGTTAATAGTTAAAAGTTAATTCAAAATGTTCTATCAATTGAACTAAGTTAAAAGTTAACCGAAATGTAATATTAAATTTTAACTCAAGTTAAGTTACTTGAAAAAAAAATGTTCTTGTTTTCATATAGTTAAAATTAAAACAATCGGTACCTAAAATTGTTCATGTTATTAGACTAAAGAACTATTATTATTTTATTTTCCAAAGGTTTAGGTAACAGTACACACATTTATTAGCATACTTTTAAAATGTGTACCATCAATTAGGTATACCTATTACCTACAATAATTATTTAATTATTTTATAATAACAAAATGTAAATATTACACTATAGGTTTTATTTTTAGTTATACTATTAAATTGTATAAATATAATAAAATATATTTTATATAGCTAAAAGTCTAAAAGTCACTTATAGACACAAATAGATAGGTAGTTAAATATTAAAAAAGAAAAAAAATACATTATTTCAAAGTTTCGCAGATAATAAAATTAAAAAAAATATTATATTGTATTATAACATTAAAAACAATATTATCCGATCTACATTTTTCTGCTTATTTGTATATATTAAAGTAAATAGAATCTGGGTACTTGTGTTAACACTAAATAGTGCTTTAAGTGGATAGATATACAATTAATCATCAAAAAACTTATTGAAATTCAGCAAAAGAGACATCTCAAAATTTTTATCACACATAGGTCCTGTCCTTTTATCATATAATTGCCCTCCAGCACTAAATAAGCGTTCAACATGTGCCGATGATGGAACTGCTGTATTGCATTTAATATGTGCTTCTTTTAATGCTAATGCGGTAACTCCAGAGGATTTGTTAAATTTGAATTTGACAAATAATTATTAATAAGTAATTCAGTGCCACTGCTTTCACTAATCATTTCATTTTCTCTAAAGCTGAGAAAGTCATCTTATGAATCACTATTTTCAAGCTGATCAGTAGTAGATATGGTTGATTGATTTGATTCTTGAGAAATTGATATATTTATAGAAGTATTGTTAGGTACAATTTCTATGAGATTTTGTTTAATTTCATCTCTATTTTCATTAGCTGTCCAATTAAGCTTAAGCTTAGAAACTAATGTAGCAGCTACCTGGCATGATTTTGACATGAAATAATTACTAAACCTATGGACAAAAAAAAAAATTATTTTATGGAAATGTTAATATTTATGCATAAGGTAACTAAAAAAATAACACTTTAAGGTTAATACAAAATATTTTCCACTATACATTTTAGACAGTTTGTCCTACACTCGTGTTGTGTCCCCAAAATAATTTTGATGATTGACCTACAGTCATAAGTACCTACTGTGCACTTTAGCTAACAACCGACTGGCGCACTGTAATACTGTGCAATTTCAAAGTGGGAAACTTTATTATGTTGTAATATACTGGTGGCTCTGATAGCTACTAGTATATTAACAGTTGCAGGCAACTAGACCTTTTACTGTGAAGATGAGGTAGTCGTTGAATAATAATAACACAAATGCCAAAACTATATTGTTGTTTATTAAGTTCCAACAATCACAATGGTGCTAAGTCCAAAAATGACAATCGTTACATGGAGCTGCGTGGAGGTGCTTGCAGTATCGTTGAGTGTACACGTCTGAATACAGGCCATTTCGGGGTCCCTCTTATAGTTCGGTCCCCGCTCCCCTTGCCTAGTGATACGGTATCTTTGTTCCAGCGGATGTGGGCTATGTGGCCTTCGACCTAACTACGCATTTGCGAAATTGATAATCTATTACCCGCATTATTAATATATATATATTGTATGCTAATTTGTGAACTGTCAATTCAATAAAATCATCATATTATTTTATTTTATATTAAATTTCCTTGTAAAATAAAGCTATCGCATATAATATATATATATGTTATACACGTTATAATATGTTATAATATATATATATATATATATATAACGCCCGAATATTCTACATGATTGCAAACCCGCACTGGTCGTGTAATATTATTCCAACCAGGAAGGTTAATAAGTTTTTGTTTAATACATCTGCCCATTACCTATCTACCGTATACTATGTTAAGTATGCTACCCGTCGAGACTTCGAATGTTGCGTAGTAACTTGCTTACTACAATGTTACTTCGGCCTGGTTCGTACAAAATAATCCATCTTATGTAAAATGTTTTCGCTAACTTAAATGTGGCACTCCTGGGGAAATATGATATTGTCATAGGACTTTCAGTTATCGAATAAAATAGTGTTTACATTTAAATTTAACAAATGATTATAAATTACAAAATGATAACTGCAGATTTTTTTCATCTTCAAAATTATTATGCATTGGTAAATAGAAAATGTTTATCTTACAATGTCATAAACCGGAAATTTTTACACAAAATTGGTTTTCGACAAAATCAATTTTGATTTTTGGTATAACTCTAAAATAAATTACTACGGTAATTACAATAAAAAAATTCTCAATATTTTTCTAAAATAGATTTTGGAATGATTATTGGTACCCCATTACGGTTTCTAGTCAATTAATTAATGTAAAAAAAATGTTGCGTCGTTATGTTCACAATATTTAAAATCACTTTGGTAGGTATTTGGGGGTAAAAACATTTGAGGGTATTAAACAGTGGGTACACCACTTTAAAAACGACCGAAAAATTACGAAAAACCACTTAAAATGGGATTTTAATTTATAACGATTTGTTTATCACCGTTGCAACGAATAAAAATTATAATATTATAATATTAATTCAACTTAAAGGCTATTTTAAATAATAAAAATTTAATAATCCAGACTGATAAACCTTCTCCGCTCAGATTCGTTTCTCGTATACAACGATATTATATCATTGAATTCAGGTTTAATACATCCATTATACATTATACTCTTTGAGACCAACCAGCGTAATATATATATATGTATATGGTATATATGTATATTGTATACACTGTATAACGGTGTAGGTATATCTTATATATGTGTGTTCTAGAAAATTCAAACCAGCTAGGAGCCATGCACGATCCTGCAAACGTTTCCGATTTAAACGTCAATAAATTAACATTTTTTGGTTATTTTTCTTGATTAGACTTCTTAAAACTTTCACAAATTCCTATACCGTATCATATTATTATTATTATTATTATTATTTATTTGTTTTCATTTAAAACAGAAATGTATACATACATGTAAAATTACAAATATTTATACATATTATAATTTGGCATTATATATAAATGATTGTCTCCGTAAGCTAGGCTTGTTGTGGAGACAAGGTTCTTAAAAATATAATAATATATATATATATTATTTGGTGGATATTATGACATATTGTATCAATCATCGCGATATACCAAATAATGGAGCGAAGCGCAAATAATATCAATATTAATCCATAGGTACTATAGGTTTGAAAAATATTAAACATTAGATCTGAACTTAATATTATGATAACGTAGGTACCGCTTATGTTATACGTAATAATAATAATATTTAAGTGAAGTTGAAATAAAGTGATGCCTAGAGGTTTTTCAAAAACTATTTCTGTAAAGAAAAGTAATACGTTACTGCCAATAATTTTACAGTAGGTACGTTATCCGTAAGTTAACCGCATTTGAGATTAGATTATGTTTATATTTGTTTTAGATTTGAGTATTTGACACACACCACAAGTTAGATAAGATTAGTGAGAGAGTGAGAGGGATAGAGAGAGAGGAGCTGAGTTCTGTAAAGTGAAACTGAAACAATTGCATAAAATATTTTAACAAAAACATATTTATGCAGTGGCGGAACTAGGGGGGTGAAGCCGGGGATTGATCCCCGGGCGTAAAATTTTAGTGGGCGTAATTTTTCTTTAGTTCTTTATTTAATGCTTGGTGATAGAAGTTAAGAAAACATTTTTATTTCACATTATTTGTTTATGATGTTGTAGTGATGACGTTGGAATTAATGAAAAAAAAAAATAAAGTTAATGGTATTATGAATAGTTTCGTATTAGTATAAGTATATACTAGTATACTGGCATTAGCATACCTACTGCAAGCATATACAACTAATATACTATAATTATTAAGATTCTGAGTAAAAATGTAACTAGTAACTATACCTGGGCATTTATTGATGCTGTGTTTTCGTTAAAATTTCTGATACCTACACAATAACTGTTATAAGATTATCAATCAACGTACGATACTTATATTATATCTGTATATTGAAAATGATGTTAATATACCTATAGTTTAAAATATTATATATTATAATATTTACCAAGATAGTTATACATTTGTTTATGTTTAAAAAAAAGATTTGATTTTAAATATTTACTTTTTCATTTTTTCTATTATAAATTGTTTAATTAAATACAATTTTTTACTGGCCTAAATTGTGTACCCTAATCAGAATAAAAGATTTTATATTTTACCATAAAAATCTATTATAATTGAAGGCTGAGGCGCATAGAACCAAAACAGCAAAAGGGTTTATAATTTTTATACAGGTTTATTTAGGTAGGTAATTAAAGTTTTGATTATTTTTCAACATTTATATATAACTAATATTATTATTATTTCTAATAATAAATACAATTAAGTAACCACTACAGTATTTCCAGTAATTAAAAATGTATCAACAATATGTTAACTAAGTTTTTAAATTTAAAGTGTTTTTGCCTTTTGGTGTGATAGTTTATTAGTATAAACTTGGTTACACCACAGTCAACAGAATATATTAATTACTATATATTATTATGTGTTTAAAAGTTAATAAGTAATATAAATAGTAATATTGTATTTTCAATCTTGGTCTATGGTTGGGCTTAATTTTAATATTTTCCCCGGGCGTAAAAATTCTTAGATCCGCCTCTGTATTTATGACTCATAGATTTTTCTTGTAGAGGAACAATATTGAGTAGGCCATTATAATTAATTTAAGAATTTTTTTGATGTATTTAATATCTTCTTTTTGATAAACAACTGCATTATATAAAATATATAAATACGTAATATGTAGGTATTAAAATAGGTAGGTAGGTAAACAAACAAATATAATATATAGGTATCTTATCATGTGGTTGTTGTTGTTGTTGTTGTTGTCGTAGTTTTAGTAGCATCACGCCACCCTGGGGACCTAGGACCGAGAAAATACGTCAAGTTTCAAGCCGCCACGTGTTACACATCAGACATCGGTGTGTATTGGCGATCGCTACTTATAGTACCTATTAAAATATAACTTTTTATTATTTTAAAAATATTATAATTAATATTAATATTAATATACTATTCTAAATAATTCCTTGCCAAATCCCAAGTAAATTGAAACAAAATAAGTTTACTTAAATTCAATAAAATTGGAATTTATTCGTGATATCACATCTTTATAGTGCTTAAAGATCTTATATTTTTTTTACTTAGCCATTTTTACAAGTAGCTTAAGAATGGTTTTTTTTTATGATATCATTAAATTTTATCGTTATTAAATATTTAGTATTTACACAATAATCGATAAGAACAGTAACATTGGCAACGACGACGACTACGGATTCTACCCATGATTCCGAATTTAATATAAATTTCCATCAAAAAGTTAGCACTTTTTCATTTATAACTTAATTTCTAAACTTTCGATTTTTATGATTTTTAAAAACAACATTTCTGATGTTTTGGAGTTTACTAGGAGTTAATTGATACATTAGATAATTAGTTATGTCGTATAACAGTTTATTCTATACATTATAAAATCATAGATGCTTATCAGAATCGCATGTGTGGGAGAACTGGTTACCGGTTGCCAATATTAATTATACTGTACTTACTGAAAGAAATAAAAAAAATTATTTTTAATATAAATATTCAAATAGTGAAATACATAAGTCATAAAAAACAAATATTAAATATGCTTCAAAAGTTGAAGAAATAGGTGGTAGGTATGCACTTTTTTTATACTGGAATTGACAAAATATGGAAAATAATTTAAATTTAAATTTTATGATTTTTAAGCTCGTCATTTTATAAAACGGATATTATTATCTACTAGATCGGTCTACTGTAATATTAACCGAAAAAATAATATAAAAAAATATGTAACTCCTACAACATCCGAGCCTCATAGTAATATTATTATAATATAATGGCGACAT